CAAAAGGTCACCCGAAAGCGAGATCGAATCCAGCAGGAGAACAAGGACACATCCCACATTCGACTGGCATTGGACCTGTCTTCGTGAGTTGACCAACTACCCCGGTGCAAGCATTGTGATGCTGCGAAGATATGCGCGACAACACTTAGCAGAACATCTATCTTCTGTTGAGCTGGCAATGGTGAACCGAGAATAGAAGAGCCAGGTTGGCTCATCTCTGATCAAACTGTTAATGGATAGACAAAGTATCGACACATTGCTTGATCGGCTGCTGCAAGGTAGGGTCAGATTGAATTCTTCGCGCAAGGCATCGAGGCCTAAGAAGCCTGACGCTGCGCTATATTACGTATTAAGTTGGCTTTCTATCACTTTTTATTGCTCATCACATAAGATGATTGTTGGGATTGGCGCAGTCGCCAGGAAGGTAAGCCGGGGCATGACCCCACATACCAACGTGTTTCGAAGAAAGTTATCAGTTATCAGTAAGCATGCAACTTCGGGGCGAAGCATGTACATAACAAGGGGCTATGTTATGCCATTAGGTATGTACTAAATACTCACTAGTTATTAGTTACCTGCTCGGTTTCTTATATAATCATGCTTACTGTCAGCACCAAGAAGTTAACTTCGACGGTTACTCAGCCTTATACTCGAATATTGAGTATCCTATCACTCCCCCAAAGAGCTCATCAACAAGTTTTCCTATGATGTTTGACTAATACAGTGAACAAAGAGGTTTAATATCCTATTTTAGGGCATTTAGCCAATAAGGTTTCTAATTGGCCTTGCTTGAAGATAACCACATTGGTTGTTCTTATCCTCTAAAATATTTACCCGGACTCCGAGCCTGTTATACTAGTACTTAATTGAGAAGCGATGATGAGGATATCTGGCACACCCAATAATATTAAATGAGGAATATGTATTTAGTCTTAAACTCAAATTACAAGCTTTTATATTATCTGCGTAAATAATTTGCAATTATAACAGTTGAAGGTTGGTGCTGTCGACGCCTTGCAAATATATATATCGACTGCCAAATTTAGAGTTCGGGCGAGTAGGAACATGACAGTGCTTCCTTTCCGCAGCTATGGTGCCATTGCATAATGTTTACTATTATTGAGTCAACTTCTTTAAACCAAGGAAGTTGAAATCAAGAATCGAGGATTGGAAATCAAAAGTTCGGCAAGGTTGGTGGCACCCCGCTTCATAGCGTCTCCATGGTAATCAAGCCACGGAAACGTTTCCGTTATCTATTTGTTCCAACTTCCTACCCCATTGGAGCTCCACCGTTCCAAGCAAGAATCAAGCTACACGACAGTAACAACCCAGGTCACACAATCTCTACTTCAAGGATTATGCTTATTGATATCTAATGTGGCACATATACCAATTCGAGTAGTCCAGGTAAAGATCCTCAGATCGGTTCGTCAGCAGCCATGAGATTAAGTTCTTCTCTCCCATCCCTGTAGGGTTCAGACCTCCGTCAGGTATGAGACGTTGCGCAACATTCTTCAACCTGGCAAATCTGGCGGTGTACTTTACACTCCACTCTTACTCACTGACTGGTATAATAATTACCTAATGGTATCACGCCTTCATGATAGAGATGTGGCAATCCTGATATCGCGGACTCCGATTAATATAAATTGATAGGGCAGGTTTCTCTCGGCGGAGAAGAAGCGTTGGTTAGACGGTGCTTGTACCGAAGAAGCATAGCGGGGACGTGGTTAGTCTCTCGCCGAGTCTGAATAATGTGGAGGATTGAAATTCAGGTTACATTGAGCCAAGAAGTGGTGGTACAGTTGTGGTAGAAGGGAGGGAAGGGGTGGAACACGAAGTCACGACAAGAAAAGATACTGATCTCCGGTATGTATTTATAGTCAGCAGATACGAGTTGACAAAACCGAATATGGACGAGTACAGTCAGCAAGTCCGAAACAATGCTTTTGTTGTGATTTTACGTTGTTCTTGGCATGCAAACCATACAAACAAACAACGCAAAAAGGACAAACAAATCAGAAAAGACCCAAATAGGAAACATTCACAACTGACACGGACGTCAAATCTACATGAGTGAAACGCGGTTTCGATATCGAGTCGAAGAGCGAGAGATGCAAGTCTTTGGTGACATATGTACATACCATGCACTCCTAAAATGGCAGCCTGATTATCTTCTCGGCCTATTCGGTGTCGCATCCCGAATTAGAATAGTGGTCTCCACATCCCCTGACGATCGTATCTCACCTTGCATTCTGATAAGCTAGGGTGCTCGATTCCTCCTTCGCACCATGTAACTATGCAATGCGGGCTTGGCTGGATCCCAAAGGGTCAGCCCAATCATGCTGGACCGGCGAGGAGGGTCCCGACGGACGTCCGGTGGATTCATTGATTGCTCAATGGTATGCAGTGTCAGCTGCAAGCGATGACATTGCACTATCGATAACAATCACGCGAAGGGCTGGCCGTTTAGCCTGAAAATAAATACTCTCCACATTCTTCTCCTTCGTCTTCCCCGTCTACAACCATTGTCCGCCATTAGTTGCAATTCACTATGTTCTTCAGCCGTGGAGCGCTTTCGCTCGCAGTGCTTTCACTGCTCAGCTCTTCTGCCGCAGGGGAGGCTTTTGAGAAGCTCTCTGCCGTTCCAAAGGGTATGCGCCCCTTAATCCGTCTTATGATCAATATGCATGAATTCTATCGGTAGTCCGTCAATACTAATTGCTTGCTAGGATGGCACTATTCTAGTACCCCTGAAGGCAGCACTTCGGTTTGCCTGAAGATCGCCCTTGCGCAGAAGGATGCTGCTGGCTTCGAAAAGAAAGTCTACGAGATGTCCGATCCCGACCACCCCAACTACGGCCAGCACTTCACCACCCACGATGAGATGAAGCGCATGCTTCTCCCCCGGGATGACACCGTTGATGCCGTTCGACAGTGGCTCGAAAACGGCGGCGTGACCGACGTTCGACAGGATGCCGACTGGATCAACTTCTGTACCACCGTCGACACCGCCAATAAACTCTTGAATGCCCAATTCAAATGGTACGTCAGCGATGTGAAGCACATCCGCCGTCTCAGAACACTGCAGTACGACATCCCCGAGTCGGTCGCCTCTCACGTCAACACAATCCAACCCACCACCCGTTTCGGAAAGATTACCCCCAAGAAGACCGTCACGCACAGCAAGCCCTCCCAGTTGGACGTGACCGCCCTTGCTGCCGCGGTCGTTGCAAAGAACATCTCGCACTGTGATTCCATCATTACCCCCACCTGTCTGAAGGAGCTTTACAACATTGGTGATTACCAGGCGGATGCAAACTCGGGCAGCAAGATTGCCTTCGCCAGCTATCTGGAGGAGTACGCGCGGTACGCTGATCTGGAGAACTTTGAGAACTACCTTGCTCCCTGGGCGAAAGGCCAGAACTTCTCCGTTACCACCTTCAACGGTGGTCTCAATGATCAGAACTCCTCGTCCGATAGCGGTGAGGCCAACCTGGATCTGCAATACATTCTCGGTGTCAGCGCCCCATTGCCCGTGACTGAATTCAGCACCGGAGGCCGTGGCCCCCTCGTCCCTGATCTGACCCAGCCGGATCCCAACGCCAACAGCAACGAGCCGTACCTCGAGTTCTTCCAGAATGTGCTGAAGCTCGACCAGGAGCACCTGCCCCAGGTCATCTCGACCTCCTATGGAGAGAACGAACAGGTATGCGACTTCACTACCGTGGACTCTAAAAACACATACTAAATGATATTTAGGAAATCCCCGAGAAGTACGCTCGCACCGTTTGCAACCTGATCGCTCAGCTCGGCAGCCGCGGTGTCTCCGTTCTCTTCTCCTCCGGTGACTCCGGTGTTGGCGAGGGCTGCATGACCAACGACGGTACCAACCGGACTCACTTCCCTCCCCAGTTCCCCGCCGCTTGTCCCTGGGTCACCTCTGTCGGTGCGACCTACAAGACCACCCCCGAGCGGGCCACCTACTTCTCCTCGGGCGGTTTCTCCGACTACTGGGCCCGTCCCGAGTGGCAGGAGGAGGCCGTGAGCAGCTACCTTGAGACGATCGGTGACAAATTCAAGGGTCTGTACAACGCCTCCGGCCGTGCCTTCCCCGACGTTGCGGCCCAGGGCATGAACTTCGCTGTCTACGACAAGGGCACCTTGGGCGAATTCGACGGTACCTCCGCCTCCGCCCCGGCCTTCAGCGCTATCATCGCTCTCCTCAACGATGCCCGTCTCCGCGCGGGCAAGCCCACTCTCGGCTTTCTGAACCCCTGGTTGTACAAGACTGGCCGCCAGGGTCTGCAAGACATCACCCTCGGTGCTAGCATTGGCTGCACCGGTCGTGCTCGCTTCGGCGGCGCCCCCGACGGCGGTCCCGTCGTGCCCTTTGCTAGCTGGAACGCCACTCAGGGCTGGGATCCCGTCACGGGTCTCGGAACTCCCGACTTCGCCGAGCTCAAGAAGCTTGCCCTTGCCGACTAAAGATTTGTTTTATATAAATATAGTAGATACCACTATGTACAATGTGTCTTAGATGCGATTCAATACAACTGTTCATAAATGACTACAATCCAATTAAGGTTGCAATCCTCGTCCGCTTACGTGAGCTTAGAAATATGGGGTACAGGACATCTTAGCCCTCACTCAGCCTTAGCAAGCTGACAACACATTAGCGATATGACCCTGGATTAACTGATGATCTGTGTAATCTCCCAAAGCCAAGAATGGCGATCCCAACACTCAGCCTTATCGCCGAGAAAACATCTCTCTACCTGTACGTAATAGAGATAAAAATAACTTAATTAGCCCGATGCTACCAAAGAAGACCTCGATGTCATACATAACTAAGCATCAAACATCATTTCCCAGCCACCACCATAGTTTAACTGAGTATATACGTCCACCCACGATATTTAAATCATAACTCATTACCACGAAAGCCAAAACCACCCAACCCAATCCATTTCCTTCATTTCCACACTTAATGAACCCCCCTACAAAACCAACAAAGCCCCAACAGCAACAGCCCCCATCTCCAACCCCACATAACCCGTAACCACAGGAGCAGCATTAGTAGACCCCGTCTCTCCACCACCCTGCGCAAAGCTAGTAGATGAAGCAGTCGTCGTACCAGCACTATCATTTTCACTTGCAGAGCTAGACCTTGAACTAGAACTAGAGCTGGAGCCGGACGTAGACCGAGTTTCCGCCGCAGATATCGTTCGCGACGCCGCAGACCTAGAAGTCGAGTCTGCGCTTGAGCTTGAGCTTGAATCCTCATCGGAAGTAGAGGTAGTGGTGGATTCAGTGGAGGTCGCGGTGCCTGTGGACCTGGCCGTTGTGGATGTGGTTGAGGTTGTAGTTGCGTCTGAGGTTGCAGGGGCGCCGGTGTTGAACATTGTGCTGTCGACTGGGGAGTGGACTGTTATTCTTGTTGCTTCGCCGGTGCAACGTCTGTATGATTTTAGTTTTGGATCAAAATATAGGATATAAAGGGAAGAGAGGGAAGGGGGGAAAGATACCCGATAAACCCATTACAACATCCAACAAAGACATTGCCTTGGAATTGGCAGCGTTCTGCGAGGTTACAGCCGACTTGGTGGTTTCATTAGTATCATTTCATAAATATTACATAAACCAACAACCTCTCAATCGAACAGAAAGATCGAAAGGAAGAATGATCTGAAAGTACTTGGAAATATAACTTACTGCCCCCGTCATCATGTGCACAACAATTCGGCGAACATCCAGTCCCACAACACTGACCAAGAAAACACACTCCTCCATCAGGACACGTAGCTCTCCTCTCCAGCCCGGCCTCCTCAATAGGCGTGAACTCCCTACTAGCCAGGATTGGGGCCCTGAGTGCCTGCACTTGTTCTTGTTCTACCCGCGCAGCGGCGCATTGGTTGTAGAACGTGGCCGAAGCCAGGAGGAACGATAGTGAATTAGCGAAATACATTATCTTATGTCAGATTGATCCAACTAGTTATATGGAATCCGTAATCACGGTACATACAACCAAGACCAAGAACAATAAACGAAGAAAAAGGAACCGGGGAAAATTTTTCCCCAGCGTCCAACAATGCAGTATTTAAGTTCTATCCGCTCTTCAGCCTCAACGTGCCTTAACCTTTTCGTTGCGGGCTTGAATATCTCGTATTCGAGCTTGGCACGGGTCCATTGTTCCTCAATATTGGGGCTACCTGTGAAGATCCTAATACCGAATGAGTATAGTGTTTGTTCGTTTATTTTAGGGTCTCGTATTTGACAGTTTGTTTGTGTGGTAGATTGTTTTTCTTTGTCATTATGGGATGCGGGGCTGAGTCACTCATTCGGGAGTCTTCGTCGTGACGTTTTCTCGATGGGTGTTTGCTAGGTATGGAGACATCGAATCAATTGCTTATATTGTACGGAGTAGAAAAGGCCAAGCATTATGTCGGGTGGATACTGTGGTATTCTGGGAGGGATGGGTAGGGCTGCGGTGGAGCTTTGCCCTGGGTGTAGGTTACTTCCTGTTCATGGATTGTTCTGCAGGAATGATTTCATGACTCAGGTCCCTTGTCGACTGCACCTAGGAAGATGTTTCTTCGAGGCTTGGGTATATGTATAAATTCACAGTGACTCCGATATTAGCGTTTAGCATGTCTCCTGCTGGTAACATCTTGACATGGCTAGTAGTAGATGCCTTTTCTGTTCTCTTGAGTTTCCCCTTACCCACCGCGCTTCTTGTATACATACAGGGCAAGTATGCCTCATATGCCGAGTAAAAAACGCCAGCAATGATATGGCAAGTCAAACTGAAGGAGTTGTTCAATCCCTACTACTATTAGAAGGACCAAGCGCTGTTCAAGTCGATTACACTAGGATGATCAGCACGCTCAAAGATGGGTCAGTAAGTGAGGAGACGACGCATCGTCTCAATGAGTTGGGAGCTTTATATAGGTAATTGTAGAGGAACAAAGATCGTACGTGGATGTTTCTCTGTTGTACAAAGTTGGGGTTGATAGTGCATTAACAACGTTTATTTCGGATGGAAATCATTGATCTAGCCTTAGTTGTTTCGGAGGAGCCCCAGTGACGACACTGATGAGTATATAAGGAGTAAAATCAAGGCTAGTCTGTTATAGGCTAGGGATAGGAAAGATCCTTATAAAAACAACCCTCAACTTATGTACAGTATCGTCCTTATGGGATGCACTGCATTAGTGGTTGACCAATATTATTCAGCCTAAGGCCCATTTAGTTTGGCAGCTGAGACTAAGCACAACCTGCATTGGTGCACTATATAACTAGTGGGAACTTCACTATCGTAGAGGTAGGGTTCAACCTTCAGAGGCCGAGAAACAAGAACAGTACCAAGTAGCTGATTAAGCTAGATTATTGCCATGTTTGTCAAAGACAGGTAAGAAAAAATGTAATATATTACGTTCACGCTAAGTATACTAGATGCCTGGCATGAAGGTGTAAGTTTATAATGGAATGACCACACGTATTCCCACCATTTAACCAATCGGTCTATTTCTTCTTCGAATCCGGCTCATCTGTGCCCTCAACCTCCAAGCGTTGCGCTACAATCATCTGCGCAATGGCATCCTCTGTCTTCAAGTAGGTGCGACTTCCCTGAATGAACCAGAAGCCGACAGCCACCACTAGCATTACTCCAAAGACGGCAATGGCGTAGTTCATATCACCCGCCGGTGGATTGGGTGAGCCAGGGAAGAAGAAGAATACCGTCGTAACGGCACAGTAGATAATGCTGATCCAGTTCAAAGGCTTGCCCCATCGCCCGAGATTGAATTGGCCCGGTGGTAGTTTATCCCGTCCGACGACGAGGAGAGCGGCGATGGGCATACCATAGGAGATAGTGAGGGCGATGGTGCTCACACTGAGAATGGCCTCGAGCACCGTATTGGCGAAAAGATAAAGGATTCCGACCAGCGCGATCAAAACGCCCTGGAACCAGAGTGACCGCGCCGGTACTTTCCACACGGGATCCACGTGGCTGAGGTATCCGCTCCAGGGTAAGCCGCCGTCGCGCGCAAATCCCCATGTCAGTCGAGATGCGGTCGTTAAGACACTGACACCTTGTCCCAGGCCGTTGAAGATGAATAATGCGATCAATGTTGCACCGCCCTTTAATCCGATCGTCTCGAGCATCAATTCAATGAAAGGTAGTCCGCTGGGTGAGTCGACCACCCGATCCACGTCTTGGATACAGAAGAGACAGACGACCATGAAGATAAAACCGGTGACGGCGCCAAGTAGCACAGCCAGCCAAATAACTCTAGGGGCGTTCTTTCGGGGTGCAGGAATTTCTTCCACCATGTGAATGACCGCGTCGAAAGCCGTCAGACCGTATGCGGCCTGAACGAGGCCCGTAAACCACACGACACCATCGCTCCAACCGGTCTGGTTCATCCATTTGCCGAACACGAAGGATGCTGGTTGAAAAGATAGATCCTTCTTCACTCCGACCGAGATAAGCAAAGCCAGCGACAGGATGACGAATAACGCGGTGAACCAAACGCCAACGAAATTATTGATCCAGGGAAGGATTTTCTCCCTCCGGCACCCGACCACGTTGATCACGGTCAAGAGAAGCACACAGCCGACGTAGACGAGGAATTCCAGCCACCCGGTCCCGGCTCCTTCCCACGTCGGCTCGAACATGACCTTCATGCCCAGAAGAAACTCGGTCATGAAGGCGACTTGTGATGCGGTCAACGTCCACCAGCCGAAGGTGTTGATCCACGCGCACATGTACGAAGCAAAGCGACCCAGAGGGGTATCCCATAGTCGAAAAACCCAGTACGCCTGACCCAGAGCGGTTGGCATGCTACTGGCGAGCTCGCCAAGAGATACGGCGACACAGAGGTTACATGCTGTGACCAGAACCAGTCCCCACAGAATAGTAACAGCGCCACCGTTGGTCAAACCGCTGCTGAGATCCTGAGCAAAAGTTGAATATGTTCCTAGCCCTTATGTCAATCACTGTTGGTCATTCCCCTTATGCAAAAACAGGTGGTCCATACCTAGAACACAAAATGCCAAGGCTAACATGCTCCACATGTCGAATTTGCGCGTAAGGGCCTGGTCATGGCCCATCGCCGCGAGATCGTGAGCATCTTGCACACTTTGATCAACCAAGTGCGGTTTAAGGGGTTGGGAGTTGGATTCCAGGTCCATACGGAGATGTAATCACGTATGACAAAGATGATAAGAGTTCAGCCAAGGGGTGGACGAGTTGATTCGATGGGCAAGTGGTGTACCCTACTGTCCATTTTCTGCGCGCACTTTTTTTTTTTTTTCGAGGGAAAGTTTTCCAAGGAGCTGACGCCGGGGGTTCATATATCAAACCCGGGCAGCTATACACGGAGAGGGGGGAAAAGTAAGGAGGAAGAAGCTCTGCCTCTACTTTAGTCCCCGGACGTTTTCGCACCCCCTCACTCGGGGAAAATTAGTTGCAGATAATTATCGAGAAGAGTTTAATCAGTGGAATTGGTCATGGTAACGATCTTCCTCAGTCACTGATAGGCAATAATGATAAGTTCGCGGCTTGGAAATCGTGACGTTGGGTACTCTTTTTTTTTTTTTTTTTTTTGTTTTCCCTTTA